AGTTGGGACCCTTGATGGTGTCTGTTTGACAACCATCATAACTGGGTAAAGTAGAATGTGTGTGCCTTGGTCATTAAGACTGGAAGCACTACTCAGTGGCAGGCTGATTTAGCTCCAAAAGAAATGGCCGCCTCTGACATGAGGAACAGATGCCATGTACAGCCGCTCCTAACATGGAGTACAAACACTGCTCATCCTGTATCCCTGGATTAGGAGCCCTTACAGGGTACTATCAGCTGAGCCCAGGTTTTTTTTAGCAAGCTTGTTACTGCTCCCCCTCCTCCTTTTTCATCCGGGCTTAGGACCGGCAAAGACGGAGTTGCTTGATACCCTAATATGATTGAGTAGAGATAAGATAGAATATTTTACTTATCTCTTTCCCCATGTACAGGAAGACTATTTTATATATTTTTTATTATTATCCCATTGTATAATTATACAAGGTCATGGAGACTATATTCATGGATCAAATTCACAATCTTGGTAGGGTTGGAATATAGGTTCTGTCTTGAGGCTTCCATACATTCCAAGAGGTGGTCTGGTGAGATCTCTTTGGTCTTGCAGATAGTTCATTGTGGGAAGGTCTTTACATCATCCTGGAAGAGGAGTGGTCTTGTATGGCCAGTTAAAGTCCAGGAACACTATTGTAGAAATGTCAAGTAATATACAATATAGAATGACATTTGAAAATTAGCTCGCATGTGTTTCTTTAGAACGAAAAATCGAAATTTATTTCAAGGAGAAAAACGATTATTTCTAACCTTAGAGATGAAGTATGAAAGAATGAATTGTGAAGAGTAATAATAAACGGAAAAATAAAGTGTCCAGGGATGGGAATCAAAACCACAGTGTTCTGCTTACCGGGCCCATGTCCACTAGGCTACCATGGACATATTTTTCCGTTCGTAAATATCATAAAGTAATTTATAATACAATATAATGCGGCTTATGATTGTACTAGCCGAATGACCCGGGCAACGCCCGTGTTTTACCCCGATTGAATGTTTTTATTCAAATACTATTTGTTACAATTATAAATTGGCGCCTTAAATAAATGCATATATTAGTTAATAACTATAGCCTATGTGCTTTATCTGTCTATGTACTGTTGGCTTCCGTAGGCGTCTCATACTGGGAAAAAGAAAGAGAGGATTCCATTTAGTTATTAACTAATATATGCATTTATTTAAGGAGCGACCCGCTCCAACACAATAGTTACAAAAATGAAAAAGCGAGTGGGGGAGGCATGATGGGGGGGGGGGGTCAAAGGTGGCGTGATCGTAGCCAACCAATAGAAGGGCGCCATTCCAAAAAAAAAAAAGCAAACGGTGACAGAGTTGATTAGGAGATGAAGAATGTAACTGTATATAGAATTATAAATATACAGTATAACCTTGTTAATTTGACATTTTTTCTACAGGATGCATTACTTATAAGAAATTTGATATATTTTGACACATATGATTCTTTTTAAAATTAAATCAATTTTCTCTCTACTGCCTTTAATGCAATTAAATTATTTTAAAGAAAATTGATTTATTTTTAAAAGAATCGTACGCGTAAAAAATAGTTCAAAATTTCTTATTATTTGACACTTGCGATAATTCAATACTTGCGATGGTTACCTGCACCCTCTAGTCTATAAAGAAGGAGCCAAAAGCTTCCCCATGTGCACTAGGTGTAAAACCAAAGAGGCCACTCCCCAACATATACTAAATTGTATTGGAAAGGACAAAAGATCCCTGTACAGAGAACCAAGAAGAGTTCTTGAACTTCTTTATGAGAACGACCTCCAAAATCTTGTCTAATTTAGACTAATAAAAGGATAAGTTGATAAGGCACAATTTGGATTATAGATTATAAAACAAGGTAATAAGACCAAATCCAAATAAATAAATAGTGTGTGACGTTTCGGTAACAGCATTGTTACCATCTTCAGACAAAAGTACTGATTATACAATTGTACTTTACTCATTCAGTACTTTTGTCTGAAGATGGTAACAACGCTGTTACCGAAACGTCACACACTACAACAAAACAGCCCTATTAGGGCATCTTGCCCTGTACGGTTCTCCGTGGAGTTGCAGACAATATTAACCATAAGAGAACAGGTGAAAATAGAGTATTTACAATTAAGGTATGGCAAAAAGGGTGACTTTTTATTGTGCCCCTGTTCTTCTCTCTTCCATGAGTGCAATTTTATTCCCAACCGCTTTTTGAAAGTTGAACAGTTCAATTGCCCAACTTTTCTTATCTGAAACAGTTTTTATTAGCTTTATTGAGTTCAAATGCGGTCTAGGAAGACTTTTCAGGATCTTTTTTCTCTCTCCTTCCAGATCCCCGCATTCAGCAATAAAATGGTATATTTCATCAGTTATCTGACTTCCACATAACCCACAGTACAAATCGTCTTTCTTAATTGCGTAAATATGATTTTCTTTGATCATTGTTGACATTAAACTGATCTGTGCAATAAAACTCACTAAAGCTGAAGACAGATTACATGAAAAGTAATTTTCTGGAATAAATGAATCATAAAGTAACCTATAGTTTGAGTATGTTTTCGTAAGAGATAATTTTGCCAGATCTTGCTGCAATAGCTGTTCAATTTTTATTTTTAGTATATTCAGAAGTTCGATCTGTATGTCATCATAATTTAACCTATAGTTTAGCCATGTGAGTCCACAATGATTGATGATATCCATAATATTCTTACAGAATCCTATAGGTTTTTTTGTCATTAAGGAAATTTCCTTCAATCTATTCCAGCATAGCTTAGGTAGTCTATTGTCTTCCATTTTTTGTAATCTAATGAAATATTTCAAAATTAATTTGATCGTTGTAAAAGTCAAAGATATTCTGCCTGTTTCCAGCCTTACAATATACCCTGGTATATATCTTGGTAGATTCAGAAAATTTTTGATAAACGTATTCTGTAATTGGTCTATAATATCCGTATTGTCCCAAGCCCACACAGGGGCCGCATAGAGCAGTATTGATTTAATAACTGAGTCAAATAGATTCAGAGCAACTTTTAATGAGTTAATTTTTTCTTTTTTTATCAGTCTAATAGTTGCATTTATTGCCGTATTTGCTTTGGCTTTATAAAAGAGGGCTACCTTTTTACTATTAATAGTGGAAGTGAATGGATATCCCAGATATGTAATATTGGACGCAACAGTCAGTGGGGTGTCACCCCAGTACCAGTTTTCGTGTCTTGCCGGTCTTCCTCCATTTCTGAATACCATTATTTTGGACTTATTTTCATTTAAAACTAATTTGTTCTTATCCAGGTAAGACTTTAGTAAATTGATTTTAATTTGAAGATTAATTTTCGATTCTCCAATTATGGCTATGTCATCCGCATACATAAGTAGGTGTAAAACACCAAAATCAGGGAGATGAAATCCTGTAAGTGCTGAGTTATTATAAAGTTCTATTAGGTCGGCCATATATAGTATAAATAAAAGTGGGGAAAGTGATTCTCCCTGCAACACTCCAGAATTAATTTTCACATTACTTGAATATTGTCCTTTCCATCGGATAGTGATCTTAGCTTCTTGGTAAAAGTTTTTTATCAGCATTACAAATTTATTGCTAATGCCCATTTTATGCAATTTTTGCCAAAGTAAATCATGTGGGACTGTGTCGAAAGCTTTAGTCAAATCGACGAAGAAGACATATAGCTTGCCTCGTTTTCTTCTCAGAGATAATTGGATGAGTGAATTCAATAGTATTATGTGGTCAGTGCATGATCGGTTCTTACGGAAACCTGCTTGGTTTTCTAAAATAATCTCTCTTTTTTCTATCCAGTTGTTTAATCTGTTTCTTAGTATTGTAGTAAATAATTTAGATATATTACTGCAGAGGGCAATCCCTCTGTAATTTGTTGGGTTATTCTTATCACCGCTTTTATATATAGGGTGTACTATTGAGTTCGTCCAGAGTTGCGGGTATTTTTCTGTGGACATTATTTTGTTGAATAGGTTTTTAAATTTAGTTAAAGTCGGTATTGGTAAATTCTTTAGCAACTCATTTGGTATACCATCGAGTCCCACTGCTTTGCCATTCGCTAGTTTTTTTACTACATCATGGATCTCTTCAAGGGTTATTTCCGCATCTAAATCTGGATCTTTCCAACCGATCATCTGGTTTACCGTAAAAGTAGCTTCTTTATTTTCTTTGTTCAGTAAATTTTTATAAAATAAAAACCATTCTTTTATATCAATCTCACCTTGTATTATTGTTTTTTTTCTGAAGGATGCAATGGCATTCCAGAAGGATTTGGGATCTTTGGCGTTTTTTATCCTTTCATTCTTGTCCTTGTTGAATTCATCTCTTTTTCTTTGCAGGAGCTTAAAATATTCCCTCCTAGCCTCAATATATTTTTGGCGGTCGTGTATGTTATTTGAGTTCCTACATCTTTGTAAACTTACTTTGGTCGTTTTTTTTCATAATATAGCAATCTTTGTCTTACCAAGGTTTTGAAAGTTGGTGTCATCGTTTAGCAAATTTAAAACGTCACACACTATTTATTTTTTTGGATTTGGTCTTATTACCTTGTTTTAAAAGGATAAGTAAAAAAACTCTTGCGATAATTTAACCATTTTTTTTTATGCCCCAACCTACAGCCTATCAAATAGAGAATGTTAATTTGAACTAACGATGATATGACACCATCAATAATTTGACCAATTTTAAAATAAAATTCTGACATAAATAATCCTTGTTTAAATAAAAAGTTATTGCTGAAAATACTTGACACTTGGGG